GTTCTTAATTCATACATATCCATCCATGCAGCAGCTCTGGTTAGGTTCCCCGGCCCTGTTAGTGAGCAGGCAGCAGACATGGAGGAAGCTTCACGAGTCCTTACTGGTCTGTCAGCACAGCCGCTAACTAACAGCGCAGACGCTGCTCTAGTACTGACTGCTGTTGGAGGCGGTTTAGGTGGAAGCCGCTGGGTCTGTGCAGAGGCGGGCGCCGCCGGCGACGTTAGATCAACAAACTCTGACAGGTCAGTCAGTAGCTGGGGAACAAAAGGAGCCAACCAATCAGACCAGAGCACAGAGCACGCCCAGTGGAGCTCTACAGGTGAGAGAGGAGCTGTAGCTAGACAGAGACAGACATGACAGGTGGAGTCTAAAAAGATGAGACACACAGAGGGGGACACAGACTGAAACCAGCCCAACGTGTTCACACAACACCTCGTATTTCACACAAGCACAACATCTGTAATCCCAGATTAACCACTTCAGCACCAGCAAAGCATTTATGTAGATTAGAGGCTTTATAGCTGTTTTTTTTAAATCATTGTTAATGAATCTTTGCAGCTTAAGAACAAATAAGAACATTTTATGAAACTGATTTTAAAATATGTTATTTTCCCTTTTTAAATGAACATTATCAAGTATTACTTTGTTTATAATTTTACTCATTTTCTCTCTTCATTTAATTGACGCATTAGTGTTCTTACAAGTCATTTTAATTTTATCATTTCAAGATTGATTTTTATTTTATTATTAATTTAATGTTATTAACAAAAACAACATTAATGATAAATGAACCCTGACATTTGTTATTTTGGCAGGTTTAAGATCATTTTTGGGGTTTTTGTAATAACTCAAAGTTGATTCACAGCTACCCAAATCTGGGGGAAGTGATAACTGTTTATTTAGATGCTGAAAATTCAGCTTAATGTTGTACCAGTGTGAAATTAATGTTTTAGGAAATAAACAGCAAACAAATGTGGAATGAACGTGTTAAATGAAAAATGACTCAAAGACTATAAAGAACTACAAACACTCCACACCAATGAGGAGAATCATTGCAAACGCTACAGCGATTCTTTTAGCTGCGCTTCAGTTAGCTCCCTGGGAACCACCACCACCACAGCAGGACGGAGCCTGCAGACAAACATCAGCAGCTGCTTACCTCAGACACTGTTTGGGCTCCCTAGGGTTCAGGCGACGGGGAGAGGTGGGAGAGGAGGGAGAGGGAGAGAAGCGAAAAATGAATGGGGAGTCTTTGAGTGAGTTTGTGTGTGAATAAAAACAGCAGGGAGGCCGGAGGGTAGGAGTGAGCGCCAGCGGAAAAGGGAACAGGATTCCCACAGGCAAGCGTGAGACTCAACTGAGGCATTTTCAGCTTTTTCTTCATCTCATTCTGGATGATATGATTAGTAAAGCAGTGCCTGCAGGAAGCTTCTGTAAATGATGCACCACAACAAACACTCGACATGCTGCTGCCAGTCCTACTGACCCACAGGGAGGCGCTGATGTGTTTTAAACTGACCCAGCATCTCTTGATTGGCCTGATTTTGAACCATGAAGGAAGTCTAGCATCCTGTTTACATCTCATGTCATCTAAAAGTTTATATTTGAGCATGGGAAACTAAAAGAAGTGTACTATGAAGCCATAGTAATTTAGCCCATTATATATATATATATATAAAATTTTAAAGCATGTAACTGTGTCTACTTTCTCAAAACGTGCTCATAAACGTTTTAGAGACAAACAATGGAGGTAGCACACCTGAGTGCAAATTGAGAGGTTTACATTTGCACGATGCACTCACAGAAGC